TCCCCGTTTTGCCCCCAGGGCGCCATCGTGGCGGTGACGGGGGACGGGGTGAACGACTCCCCGGCGCTGAAGAAGGCCGACATCGGGGTGGCCATGGGCATCGCCGGCTCCGACGCCGCCAAGAACGCGGCCGACATGATCCTGCTCGACGACAACTTCGCCTCCATCGTCACCGGCGTCGAGCAGGGTGGGGCAGGGGGGGGGCACCTGAAACACCTGGGGGGCACCTGAAACACCTGAGAACCCCCTAAAACACCTGGGGGGCACCTGAAACACCTGAGAACCCCCTAAAATACCCGGGGGGCTCCTGAAACACCTGAGAACCCCCTAAAACACCCGGGGGGCACCTGAAACACCTGAGAACCCCCTAAAACACCCGGAGGGCTCCTGAAACACCTGGAATCTTCCCCCAACACCTGAGATCAGCTCCAAACCCTGGGACTCCCCTGAAACACCTGAGAACCCCCTAAAACACCTGAGATCCCCCAAAATACCTGGGAGTCCCCAGACACCTGGGGGGGTTGTCCCACCCCAGTGACACCTGTGACACCGGTGACACCCGTCCCACCTGCCCTTGTCCCCCCAGGGCGGCTGATCTTCGACAACCTGAAGAAGTCGATCGCCTACACCCTGACCAAGAACATCCCCGAGCTGACCCCGTACCTGATCTACATCACGGCCAGCGTGCCCCTGCCCCTGGGCTGCATCACCATCCTCTTCATCGAGCTCTGCACCGACATCGTGAGTGCTGCTGCCTCACCTGGGCTCACCTGGGGGCTCACCTGGGCCCACCTGGGGGCTCACCTGGGGGCTCCCCTGGGCTCCCCTGGGCTCCCCTGGGCTCACCTGGGCTCACCTGCCCGCAGTTCCCCTCGGTGTCCCTGGCCTACGAACGGGCCGAGAGCGACATCATGCACCTGAAGCCGCGGAACCCGCGGCGGGACCGGCTGGTCAACGAGCCCCTGGCGGCCTATTCCTACTTCCAGATCGGTAACGGGGGCCCGGGGACACCCCCCACACCTGGGGGGCCACACCCAGGACCCCCCGGGCAGTCGTGTCCCCGAACATCGGGACCCTCGGGGGCTCCAGGAACCCACTCGCCCGGGTCTCCTCGTCCTCCAGGCCTTGGGGACACCTGAGTCCCTGGTCCCGGGGCACCCGAGTCCCTGGGTGTCCCAAACCCCTGAGTCCCTGGATTTCCCATCCCCTGTTCCCTGAGTGTCCCAAACCCCTGAGTCCCTGGATGTCCTAAATCCCCGTTCCCTGGGTGTCCCATCCCCTTGATTCCTGGATTTCCTGACCCCTGGATTTCCTATCCCCTGTTCTATGAGTGTCCCATCCTCTTGATTCCTGGATTTTCGATCCCCTGTTCCCTGGGTGTCCCATCCCTTGATTCCTGGTTATCCTGACCCCTGGATTTCCTGAGCCCTGTTCCCTGGGTGTCCCATCCCCTTGATTCCTGGATTTCCTGACCCCTGGGTGTCCCAATCCCCCATTCCCTGGGTGTCCCTCACTCCCGTGTCCCCCCCGTGCCAGGAGCCATCCAGTCCTTCGCGGGGTTCACCGATTACTTCGTGGCGATGGCCCAGGAGGGCTGGTGGCCGCTGCTGGTGCTGGGGCTGCGCCCGCGCTGGGAGGACACGCACGAGCAGGAGCTGCAGGACAGCTACGGGCAGCAGTGGGTGCGTGTGTCCCCCCCGGGAGCCCCCGTGCTCACCTGAGCCCCCCCCGGGGACCCTCCTGCTCACCTGAGCCCCTCTGGGAGCCCCTGTGCTCACCTGAGCCCCCCGGGGACCCTCATGCTCACCTGAGCCCCCCTGGGAGCCGCTGTGCTCACCTGAGCCCCCCCATGCCCACTCGCCCCCCCTGGCCCCCCCCGCGCTCACCTGAGCCCCCCCAGGACCCCCATGCTCACCTGAGCCCCCCAGGGAGCTCCCGCACTCACCTGAGCCCCCCATGCTCACCTGAGTCCCCCTGGGGCCCCCTGTGCTCACCTGAGCCCCCCGCACTCACCTGAGCCACCCAGGGAGCTCCCTCGCTCACCTGAGCCCCCCTGGGACCCCCGTGCTCACCTGGGCCCCCCCGGGATCCCCTGTGCTCACCTGAGCCCCCCCGGGACCCCCGCACTCACCTGAGCCCTCCTGTGCCCACTCATGCTCACCTGAGCCCCCTGCGCTCACCTGATCCCCGTTGCTGAGGTGCCCCCCGTGCCCGCAGACGTTCATGCAGCGCAGGTACCAGCAGTACACCTGCTACACCGTGTTCTTCATCAGCATCGAGATGTGCCAGATCGCCGACGTGCTCATCCGCAAGACCCGCCGCCTGTCCCTGCTCCAGCAGGGGGCGCTCAGGTGCGGGGGGG